CAGAGGACACCACAAAATGCTCAGCACTCTGGTGTGACTGGCACAAGATGATGGTGGCCTGGGCCTTGAACAAAAAAGTTAGAAAGCTAGCAGAGGAAACCAGGCCATACATCCAGTCAGCTAAGAGCAAAGTACAGAGAGCGATAAGGAAAAAATGGTGGCTGGTCTGCTCAGGGCTGGTTTTCCAGAGAGCCCCAATTCTGCAATGCGCAGAACAGATAAGGGCCGCTTGTGTGTGAAAAGGTGTTGCTGCTTCAGGAAAGAAGGGCAGATAAGGTATTTCTCATGGGTGCTTGTCTGACTCACTGAGACATTTTAGCTCACGAGGCCATGTCTCCTGGTTCCTTCCTTAGGGTCACATGAAAATGAGCAGAGATTGGGTCATCAGGAGAGGGCTCTCCAAGAAGAGAAAAACTCCCTCAGTGGAGGCCTGTGGGCAGTGGTGTGGGGGCGCACACAGCCTCACACGCTCACTCCCCCAGCTGCCCTCTACATATACCCTGAAGCTCCCTGCCCTCTTGGAGAGTTCCTGAAACTGGCCCTGCGGGAGTCCCGGTGGGGCCGCAGGAGCACAGGCCTACTCTGAAGACTGGGCCCTTCTCCAGCTTCCTCCTCCCCCATCCTGAGTCCTGCCCTTGGATGCAGGTAAGCAGAGACCAGAGGCCCAGTGAGCAGAGGGCCAAGGGCACAGCAGGGCCTAACAGCTGAGAGCGCTGACTTCCAACTCACATGAGGCCAGGCTCTGCCTCCAACCAGTTGCGTGGCTTCAGGCAAATTCTGTACCTTCGCTTTGCCTCTGTCGGTCACCTTTGGGCTTCTTCACTTGCTTAGAATACTTTCCCTCCCCAGCTTTGCCTGTGTAATTTATGCCTTGTTGTCAGTGAAGTTTGAGCTTGGTCAGCAAGTCTTCCGCCGGACAAGATCAGGGGATCCTTGGTGTGCTTCCGTGACCCCTTCAGTGGGACACCCCTGCTCAGCTCTTGGGTGCCTTGTCAGTGGCCCCATTAGGCTTTCAGGTCCTCAAGAAAAGACACTGTCTCTGATTCACCAATGTTGTCTCCAGCTCCTGGCATGGGGACTGGCAGAAAGCCGTCACTTATACTTAATTGATACTGACTAACGAAGGGAAGAAAGAAAAGGCTGTCTAGGTGATGGGTGAGGTATAGAGGGACACACAAAGAATTTGCAGTCTCTTCCTCCACATGACTTAGCTGATCACTCCTATTGTTGCCTAGTCATCTGGCCGAGGACTTGGGCACCCAGCCAGGATCTCAGGTCAGAACAGGGCCTTCCCTGAAGCCCAGTCTTAAGGTTTTACCTTACTAACCTACTTATCTCTTCAGAGATCAAATTAGCCAACCTCTAGGCTAATCTCCTGGCTACATTTGTGGAAGCGTTTCTCAGAATGTTGTGATTTCTTGCGGAACAAAGGCAGGAGAGGAAGTGAAATGCAAACCAGTTTGAATCAGTGGGAGCAGCACGTGGCAAAGTGCTTTAGCAGGAGATCAGGGAACAGTCAGGATTCTCTGAGTTCCATCATCCCAAAGGCCATGCTCAACAACTTCTTCCCCTCTTCCTCCTCCTCTTTCTTCTTCTTTTAAAGATTTTATTTATTCATGACAGAGAGGCACAGTGAGAGAGGGAACACAAGCGGGAAGCTCCCCACTGAGCAGGGAGCCCCATATGGGGCTCGATCCCAGGACTCTGGGATCATGACATGAGCCGAAGCCAGGCGCTTAACCAACTGAGCCACCCAGGCACCCCCATGCTCAACTTCTTAATTTTCCCTCTGTGTGATTATATTTTTTAGTTTCCCTTATAAAATTCTTTCCTGATGGAAAAATTTCCATAGAAGAGATTGTCGGGGTGTGGCGGGGGGGCGGGATTTGTTTTGATTATCTACTTCTAGATAGGCCTTGCTCAGAGGTGGGATGACGTGAAGGTGGCCAAAGGCACTCCTGAACAAAACTCCCCCAGCCTGTCTACAGCCCTTCTTTGAAAGCCCAACTGCGCACAGGTCCTTACTTGGGCCCCTGAGAAAATACCAGTCATTTGGGACTGATAAAAAGGTTAAAGTCGTTTACTTGCTAACATTCTTGATTGGTTGATTTGCTCCAGCACAGAGACACATCGAGAGCCCTGCACTCGATGATGGGACAGTCTGGGAAGGGAGGCTGCCCAGACATGCACTTATATCGCAAAGGTTAGTGGGCAGACTGTGGGGAGGATTGTTTTCCTACAGGTGCTCTGTCTCATGACAGCAGGACCTATCCATCCCCCTGAAGGCCAGAGAACCAGGACCAAGCAGCCAATACTTAAGGACAAGAGGCCTCCTGTAGTGGACCAGCTGGGAGAGGACTCTGGGGAGAAACACAGCATCCCTCCTGATTCCTGGTCCCCACCATTCCCTCTAGCCTCCTTGTATCCCTGGGGTAAGGGTCACTATTAATTCATTTCCTACCCCTACTCCCCCAGTACATGCCCCCCTGTCCTGGAGGCCTGAACTTACCTTTATCAGGGGCAAGTTCTTTTATTCACTGTGAGAAAAATGGCTTAGAGAGCAAATAACCTATGGAGAGGGCACCCAGTGAAGGACCTCTCCACAGTAAAATATTAGCAACTGCAGCAGGAAGTTCTCCGTTGGGAGGAGTTGCAGGAGGTGAGCATGGAGGAAGCAAAGATCACCAAAGGCTGTGGAGGATGGGGATGAGACAGGGTGTGGGAGCGCGCCACCACCCCAAAGGCCCGCTCAATGTTGTGTCTGGCACCAGTCCCTTTAGCACAAGACAAATGGACAACGCTAGACTAATCAAATTTTGGTTTCTAAAAATTGAGTTCTTGGGGCACCTGGGTGGCTCAGTGGGTTAAAGCCTCTGCCTTTGGCTCTGGTCATGGTCTTGGGGTCTTGGGATCGAGCCCCGCCTTGGGCTCTCTGCTGGGCGGCGGGGAGCCTGCTCCCCCCACCACCTGCCTCTCTGCCTGCTTGTGATCTCTGTCAAATAAATAAATAAAATATTTTTTTAAATTGAGTTCTTAAGTTGTAAAACTGTTTTTAAAGAGGTATGATAAAAATAAAAATGAAGGATAGTCATTTTCAGAAAGAATCCAGGAAAATAGTAGGATTGATAGGCACATGTAGGGCTTCAGTAATATTAGCGGTAATGACCTATTTTGTAAGCTGGTTGCATTTAAGTGGGAGTTAATTTTCCCATACAGCTTCTAAGTACAAATTATACACTGTGTTTAATTCTTTAAACTCTGAAATATTGTATTACACATGTATGTGTAAAAGAGAGATGGGGGGGTCTGGTTCACACATATTTTCTGATTATGGATGAAGTAATGTGTTGGGAGGGGAGTGTCAAGAGTCTTAGGTCAGACAGACTTACCTGACTTGAAAAGCAGCGACAGTCAACTTCTCAGGGATGTCAAGGCACTGATTTTTTTTTAATCCGTATTGACACAAGTCTACCCAAATATCACCAGTCCTATTGTAATTCACATTTCGGAAAACGACAAGAAAACAAATAAATAGATAAATATATATATATATATATATATATATTTTTTTTTTTTTTTTTT